ATAAGACTGACAATGATAAGAAGTACTAAGAAGCTGTTAGAAACCAGGTGCGGTGGTGCATGCCTATAATCCCAGCAGCTTGGGAGGCTGAGGCAGTAGAATCCTGAGTTCAAAGCCAGCCTCAGCAAAAGCGAGGTGCTAAGCAACTCATAAGACCCTATCTCTAAATAAAAAATACAGAATAGGGCTGGGGATGTAGCTCAGTTGAGTGCCCTAAGTTCAATCTTTGGTGTATTCACCCCACCAATAAAAAGAAAACTGTTAGAGTCTAGCATGTAGAAGGTACTGCCAGGGCTGCAGTTGTAGTTCAGTAGTAAAGCACTTCCCTAGCACACATGAGGCACCAAGTTTGATCCTCAGCACCACATAAAAATAAATAAAATAAAGGTATTGTGTCCATCTATAGCATATATATATATATATATATATATATATTTTCACACACACACACATATATACTGATTATGCTATTGGGTTGGGCATGTGGGTGCATGCCTGAATCCCAGCTACATGGGAATCTGAGACAGGAAGATTGCAAGATTGAGGCTAATTGGGGTAATTTAGCAAGACTCTGTGTCAAAATAAAAAATAAAAAGAGCTGGGAATATAGTTCAGTGATGGAGTACTTTAGGTTTAATCTTTAGAACCATGAAAAAGCCAGGTGTGGTGGCCACACCTGTAGTCCAAGCAGCTCTGGAGACTGAGGCAGGAGGATCTCAAGTTCAAAGCCAGCTTCAGCAATGGTGAGGCGCTTAGCAACTTAGTGAGACCATGTCTCTAAATAAAATACAAAAAAGGGCTGGGGGTTGCCTCAGTGGTTAGTAGCCCCTGGGTTCAATCTCCCATACCACCCCCCCAAAAAAAAGAACCCTGAAAAAAACAAAAAGAATATGCTACTGAGATTACAAGTGGAGTAAGTGGTAAAGAGTGGAGAGAAAGGGCCGGGCAGGATGGCACACAACCTATAATCCCAGCAACTCGGGATGCTGAGGCAGGGAGATCATGAGTTCAAAACCAGCTTCATCAATTTAGTGAGGCCCTAAGCAACTGAGCAAGACCTTGTCTCAAAAATATAAATATAAAATATAAAAAATATAAAATATAAAAAAGGGGACTGCGGGGGGGCTGGGGTTGTGGCTCAGTGGTAGAGTGCTCACTTAGCATGCATGAGGCATTGAGTTCCATCCTCAGTACCACATAAAATAAAGATATTGTGTCCACCTATAATTTAAAAATAAATATTAAAAAAAGGGGACTGGGGATGTAGTTCAGTGGGTAAGTACCCCTGGCTCAATCCCCAGTAACAAAAAGTGGAGAGGGAGAATAAAGTATTTGCTTAAAAAAAGCTGGTTGAACAGAAGCACAATTTATCTAAGAGGGGAAGATAAGGAAAAGCAGCTTGAAAGGTTGACATTGACAGTTTCTGATTTTGTATATTTTAACTTTTTCACTTTAAGACGTTGAATAGGTCATTGAAAATGTCCATCTGGAGCCAGGAAAGATTACAGCTGGATATATATTTGAGCATCTTTACTTTTATGATTAGAATTAAATCCATGGATCTGATGTGATTACTTAGGAAGGATGCAGATAGAAGAAAGGAGATAAAAAGAATCCTAAGAACTAATTCATGGGAGAACTTAGACCTTTGAAGGCAGAGACAACAGAGGAGATAGAGAAGGAATATCCACTCACTGAGAGAAAATAAATAAAAACAATAGTAAATGTTTCAAGTTGGAGGAAGTAGAGTGAGAACTGAGAAATGATCTCAGGTTCTAGTAAGATGGAGAATACTGATGACCTTGTAAATATTTATTTCAGGATGAAAACTTGATTGGAGTGAGTTGATGAAAGAGATATTGGGAAGGCAGTTAGGAGAATGTATGTAAGATGACTCTTTGAGGTCATGGCCCCAGCTGCCAGGCTCTGGTTCTAGGCAGCTGCCCTGAAAGTTCCCCCATCCCATTATGTCCTCAAGCTGACACAGAATCCTTTGTCATCCTGTTTGGACGTGCTTTTTGGCTGGGCGACAGCTTGTCCTCCTCCCTGCCTCCCAAATGTGGACTTTGCCTTGGCCACTTCATCCTCTTGGTTTAGGAGCTTGAGCCAGGGACAGTGGTGTGCATTCCTTGTATTGTCATTCCTATTCTTCTCTGGAGCTATACATATACCCTATGATTTCCCCTTTTGTTAGTCGCATATGGCCTAGAAAAGCTGTACAAGAATCCAATGATTAAAAAAAAAAAAAAGGCAAAGTTGACTGTAAGGATACTGACAGAAATGGATTACCAACAAAAGACCAACAGGAATCGGTGATAAAAAGAAAGACTAATGCAATTTTCTCAAAGAATCTCAATTGTTTTTAAAATGGACCTGAAGCACCTTCTTTGTAATTGACTCTGAAACTAGAATTTTGCCTAGAGAGTTTATTTATCTGATATTTACTGGGAAATACATTGTACTTATACTTAAAATGTACTGTTATGGGGGTGGAGTTGTGGCTCAGTGATAGAGTGCTTGCCTGGCACATGTGAGGCACTGGGTTCGAGTCTTAGCACCACATAAAATAATAAATAAAGGTATTGTGTCCATCCACAACTAAAAAAATTTTTTTAAATGTACTTAGTTAAAGGCTAAAGTTGTGGTGCTAAGAAATATGTTGATAGTTAACATTGAGGATATGGATTATAAGCAGTGTATTTGATGATATATTACAGCATATTTGTGTGCTCATGCAAATGATTCAATAGAGGAAATTAATGCAATGGAGAGAGGCATGATTGTGGTAACAATGTCCTTAGGCTGGGGTAGAGGGGAAGAAGGCAATATAGTTATGTTTATAGGTAAATTGGTCATAATATAATTGTGTATATGGGTAAGTTACATTTTTATTTCTTGCCTAAGAATTTCACAAGAACTGCAATAAGATATAAATATGATTTCCTGTCTCAAAAAAATCACTAGTATGGGGCTGGGACTGTGGCTCAGTGATAGAGCACTTGCCTAGCACATGCGAAGCCTTGGGTTTGATCCTCAGCACCAGAGGAAAAATAAATAAAATAAAGGTATTGTGCCTAATTACAAGTAAAAAATAAATATTTTTTTAAAAATCACTAATATGTTTCCAGAAAATATTGAAATAGTCTTGCCTATGAGAGAAAGAAAGAGACCTGAGTAAGAGGAGGAAAGAAGGAAACCAGTTGAATATTTGTGAAATGAATGAGTAATAAACTTAAGGGGAAATTGAGTAAATAAAATTCTTCAGTAACTTTGCCATAATGTAGAGACAAAAAAATAACACATAGCCATGTGAAGGAGTAAATGGGTGGTACAGAGAATACTGCATAGATAAGGATATGCAGCCACCTTCTTCCATTTATTTATTTAGCTGAGCAAGCTTGAATGAATGAAGAGAGAATTTAATCATTACAGGAAAGTATGAGAGACTAGGGGCAGATAAATCTATCCAGAATAACTATATAACTATGGGAATAAAGTGAGTAAAATTATGTGTTATGGATTCATTACTTAATAGAGAGTAAATTAGGATTCTCTCTGCTCTTGAGGAGATTGATTGGTAAAAATAAGAAAAATAGGACTGGGGCTAAAGGCCACTGGTAATGCAATTGCCTGTCATKTATAAGGCAAAATTTAGTGAGTATATGTGTCAAAAAGTAGGATATGTTATAAAGGCAAGAAATAAAGAATGACAGCATAGACTTAGGTACTAAGTAGGGTAGATCTCAAAGGAAGTGACTTTTTTTTTTTAAAGAGAGAGTGAGAGAGGAGAGAGAGTGAGAGAGAGAGAGAGAATTTTTAATATTTATTTTTTAGTTCTCTGCGGACACAACATCTTTGTTGGTATGTGGTGCTGAGGATCGAACCCGGGCCGCACGCATGCCAGGCGAGCGCGCTACCGCTTGAGCCACATCCCCAGCCCCAGGAAGTGACTTTTAATCTAAGAGCTTAGGACGAGAAGGAGCCAGCCATGCAAAGAGCTCCATCAGGAAATTTGTGGGAGATGGAGCAGACTGTGCAAATTCCTGAGAGATGAAAGGAAGTTGGGAGATTTCGTAATGTCCAAAAGGAAGCCTTTTCAGGTAGCAATAAAGGGAACAGAGGTTTAAGATATATGTAGGTAAATGGCCTTGTTAACCACAATGAGCTTAATTTTAATTTTAAGAATAAAGAGACATTTTTGAAAAGAAAAAATTAAATATGGATTCCTAATGTTTCATCTCTTTCAGAATCATTGTGTGGAGAATAGTAAATATTCCTCTGGGAATATAGAATCTGATGCACATGGTTTGGGTGGTATTTAAGCCTCAGTATTTGTAATAAGCTCCCCAGGAATTCTGATTCACACTTCAACTTGAAAATCACTGGCTTAAATGCTTAACCATTAGTCTTCCTGTCTTATTTGAACTCTCATTTTCCTGGTGTTCCTTTTTGCCTTTTTTGCTTTTTTCCCCCATATTATTTAGAATTTGAGTATTACTTTTGTCTTGTTTCCACTGTCGAAACTTTACTTCTTTTTTTAAATACTTTTTTTAAGTTGTAGTTGGATACAATGCTTTTATTTTTATTTATTTTTATATGGTGCTGAGGATCGAACCCAGTGCCTCACCCATGCTAGGTGAGCACTCTACCACTGAGCCACAGTCCCAGCTCCAAAACTTTACTTCTTTTAGAAAGAGAAAACAGTATGTGTGTGCTTTTGTTTTTTCTTTTAGATTTGGAGACCAGGTGTGAGACCAAGAAGTTATCTTCAGAAAATGACATTTATGAAATAAATTTATCCCAGTGGAAGCTAATGGAAAGAATTAAAAACCATGGCCTTAAGGGCCTCATTTTAAAAAATGACTGGGAATCCAAAAGAAAATTTGAAGGACAAGAGGGACCTCAAGAGGGATACTTCAGTCAAGTGAAACTCACATCTGAAAAAGTATCCTCTTATCAGAAGCGCACATCTGTGACTCCACGTCAGAGAATTCAATTAGTGGAGAAACCCTATGAATGTAAGGAATGTGGGAAGGCTTTTAAAGTACGACAGCAACTTACTTTTCATCACAGAATTCATACTGGTGAAAAACCCTATGAATGTAAGGAATGTGGGATGACCTTTAGACAAACTGCACACCTCACTAGACATCAGAGACTTCATTCTGGAGAAAAACTCTATGAATGCAAGGATTGTGGGGAAGCTTTCATGTGTGGCCCAGATCTTCGAGTACATCAGAAAATTCATATTGGTGAGAAGCCCTATGAATGTAAAGAATGTGGGAAAGCCTTCAGAGTTCGAGGACAACTTACTCTCCATCAGAGGATTCATACTGGTGAGAAACCCTATGTATGTAAAGAATGTGGGAAGGCCTTTAGACAGTATGCACACCTTACTCGACATCAAAAGCTTAATATTGCTGACAGACTGTATGAATGTAAAGAATGTGGGAAGGACTTTTTGTGTGGTTCTGGACTTAGAGTACATCACAAACTTCATACTGGTGAGAAACCCTATGAATGTAAGGAATGTGGGAAGGCTTTTAGAGTGAGACAGCAACTAACACTCCATCAGAGAATTCATACTGGTGAGAAACCCTWTGAGTGTAAGGAATGTGGAAAAACCTTTAGTCGTGGTTATCATCTTATTCTCCATCATAGAATTCATACTGGTGAAAAACCTTACGAATGTAAGGAATGCTGGAAGGCCTTTAGTCGTTACTCACAACTTATTTCACATCAGAGTATTCATATTGGTGTTAAACCCTATGATTGTAAGGAATGTGGAAAAGCCTTTAGACTACTTTCACAACTTACACAACATCAGAGTATTCATATTGGTGAGAAACCCTATAAATGTAAGGAATGTGGGAAAGCCTTTAGATTGCGCCAAAAACTTACTCTACATCAAAGCATTCACACTGGTGAAAAACCCTTTGAGTGTAAGGAATGTAGGAAGGCCTTTAGACTCAATTCATCTCTTATCCAACATTTGAGAATTCATTCTGGTGAGAAACCCTATGAATGTAAAGAATGTAAGAAGGCCTTTAGACAACATTCACACCTTACCCATCATCTGAAAATTCATAATGTAAAAATGTAAGAAAATCTTATCAGTACTATGTTGTAGAACATTCTATGAATGTAATAATCTCTTTTGCTTCCTACATGTAGCTGACTTGGCGTAAGGGGTTTTATACCATTAAAAGGCTATGTTGATGTGTTCTACCATCACTTCAGCACATTTGTTGTAACTGATCCTATTAATATAACAATGTGGGAAAGATACTTATCTCTATCCCATCACTTTTTTTCTTTTGGTTATATTGAAGAAAACATAACTGCTCTGGGCGGAAATTTCTTCTTTGTAAAATGATGGTATAAAACTGTAGCAAAAATGGCTGCAAATTCTTGACATTGTTCCCATTAACAGATGGAGTCCATATTTCCTCCCTTGAATATGGGCAGAATCTGCTTTGTCCAGTAGAACATAGTAGAAGTACTTCTGTGCAGTTTCTGGGTCCATGCTTTACTGTTAAGGTTACTTCATCTCTTAAAACACTTTCTCAAGCTCTGAACTGTCATGTAACAAAGTCTAGCAAGTGGAGAAGCCCTGAGATTATATATACAGGGAGAGATACCTGATGAATCCAGTCTTCCAGACATGCCCTTTAAGACACCAGATATTTGAGTGAAAGAGTTTTTGATCCTCTAGACCAGCTGATCACCACTGAGTAACCTCAACTGACACCCATGTGGAATAGAAGACTCAACCAGCTAAGTCCCTGCCCAACTCCTGATGCACAATCATAAAAGAATTTAAAAATTGGCTGTTGTTTTAAGCCACTATATTTTGTTTTATCATTATTCTTAATATTACTCTTTTGAGAATTCTCTTGAAAGACTATTCTCAGTGGTTAAGCACTCCTGGGTTCAATCCCTGGTATCAAAAAAAAAAAAAAAGACTATAGAAGTAATGAATATAAATATGCCTTCTACCAACATTTATCCCTTATTCTTGTTAAAATACTGAAAATGAGAAATTATTTTTCAGTTTATTAATAAAACAGGTATTCTACAATCTACATTTTCAGGTCCTAGTTAATATTTAATTAAAGGCTAACAAAAGATAACATAAAAGGAAGCTATTTGWAAATTTAAACTCACCTGTATTATAACTCCTGCATTTTTTGCCCCATTGGAGATGAGTTTTTTTGCCACATTCTGCAGGCTGGTGTCCAAACTGCTGAGCTCAAGTGATCCCGGACTCCCAAGTACTGATTTACAATTGTGTGCCACCACGCCTGCCTACATTGTTTGTTTAGTCACTCCTTTGTAACTTAAAAAAAAAAAAAGCTACATAGGCTAGTTCGACTCCCTTCATATTGGCTTCTGTGTCCTTTTTTTTTTTTTTTTTTTTTTTGACCACTGTAGCCTTTGATTGCTTTTTTTCCCTAACCAAATGCATTGATCAGCTACGGAGCACACTAGTGCATTATTGATAAATAAAGGGAAAGACTGGAACATTTAAATCTTTCCTTACCTTTATGAACTGCATTTCAAAACAACCAAAAGTTGATGAAGGGTAGTTTATTAATAGAGAATTCTAGCTGGTAAAGATCAAAGGAGTGATAGAATTTGAAAATTATGCTTATTTATAAAATAATGGGTCTTGGTGGAGATATCCATGGATACAAGACCATGGATAAAGGATTGATAGAAAGCTTATGATTGGTGGTGCTGAATGGCAGCACCCACTAATCTACATTAACATTTCTAAATTAGATCAGCCAGGCTATGCCTTTCTAGATGTGAAACAATCAATATATAAAGTATCTCCTGTGAAATATCCCTCTCCCCTAAAAATTTGCTTCAGAATTACAACTTAGTCTCTGAATCTAATTACCCATTTACAGGAAACATGGAGAACTAAGGAACAGATTAGTGACACAAAGAAGCAAATAAGGAAATCCACAATTTGAAAAGTTTCCTGAATTAATGGTCTAATTTCTTAACCAAAATACATATCAAGAACAAAAAGAACCATAATCCTATGTCAAGAATAATAGACATATCAAGTACAGTATATGGAACATATTGGTATCCTTGTGTTTTAACATTTTAATGTACTTGGGATTTGTTTTAATTAGGCATGGTGATAGACATAAAAATTATGGTCTTGAAGAAAGAAGTTTATTCTCAGATCCCTAAAAACAGGTATTCTATTATCTGAAAGGAGGCATGGCTTGCATGTAGGGCCATATGGGGAAGCACCCAAAGACTTGGGTAAAAGCAGAAATAGAGAGGATAATGCAAGCCCCAAGGCATTTATTAGTGATTTGTTGTTTATTGTTTATTTGGGGGGAAGGACTGGGTAAGACAGGCTAGACACTTGAGTAAGTTTAGGGTGGATAGTTTGATAATTTTGGCAGATTCTGTGCTACAGAGGTGATTGCTAGTTGTTCAGTACCTGGCCCTAGGGTAATTTAGGGCTGGGGAGTTTTGATGTGGTATGTGAGTTTGATAAAGCATGGTTGGGAATATGGGCTCTGGATTGTTTGGTTTGTGTATCAAAGATCTACTCACAGGGGAACTGTTGCTATCTATGCATTAGCTAGTCTTGGGAGGAGTCTTCAGGATCAAGGCCTGAACTGCCAGAGCATTAAGGGTACAGAAAATGTAGTCAGTCCAATCCTGATTTGGACAAATTAGTGACAATGTTTTTATATATTGTGTAAATATAACCATGGATTATGTATTAAATGATACTAAGCAATTGTTCATTATGTTGGCATTATGGGTGTGTGTATAAGTATGTGCTAGAGATCTATACTGAAGTATTGAAGGGTAAAATTATGTCATGCCCTATGATTTGCTTTAAAATGTAGTCATGCATCACATAATGATTTTTCAGTCAATAGTGGGCCACAGGGCTGGGGCTGTAGCTCAGTGGCAGAACACTTGCCTCTCATGTGTGAGGCACTTGGTTCGATCCTTAGCACCACATGAAAACAAACAAATAAAATAAAGGCGTTCTGTCCATCTACCAAAAAWTTTTTTAAAAAGTTGACCATATGTTCAACATTGATCCCATAAGATATTATCACCTATTATCTTAATGTCATTAATGTAATGTCATTAATGACATTAATGTAATATCATTACCCATCTTAGGTGTCAAAGTAGACTCTGTGATGTTTGCATAACAATGAAATCACCTAAAGATGCATTCTTTAGAAAGTATCCCTGTAAGTAACTGAAAATATGTGGGAGGAATAGATGAAACAAGATTGGCAAAATGTTGCTGTGTTGTATCTTCATAATAGACACACAGGGTTCATTGTGCTATTTTTACTATCTTTACATATATATGAAAATTTCCATAATAAAAATTTTAAGGTAGAGAATCAAATCTGAAGTGTTAAAATATTTACAGATGAATAATAATGTGTTGCCTACAAATGAAAATTTGTGGGAAATCACCAAAAATCACCAAAGCACTACTAACAGAAAACCCCAAACAATGCATTTAGAAAACCTGGATTGAGGTGGGGGGAAAAAAAAAACCTGGATTGAGGAACCAGTGTTTGTCTTGTTCACCATCCTTTTCCCATACCTATATTGACTGTCACGTAACAGGCAGTTGATATGTAATGGAAAAAAATAAGCATTAACTTAAGCTAGAAGATTAAAATAAGAAAGAAAAAAAACACTAAGATGTTTGTTACAGTGCATATCTGGAATGTTCCCCAAAGGCTCCTGTGTTGAAGACTTGATCCCTAGMTGGTGGCAGTATTGGGAGATGGCAGAAACTTTAGGAGGTGGGGCTCAATTGGAGGAAGGAGGTGACTGGTGGCATGTCCTTGAAGGGTAAATATTGTTGTCTTGGACTCTCTCTCTCTTCTTCACTGCTGCCATGAGGTAAGCAGCTTTGCTCCGCTAATGTTCCCTGCCATGACGTACTGCTTCACTACAGGCTCAGAAACAATGGAGCTACCCAGCTGAAACCATGAACCACACTAAATCTTTCCTTTAAGTTGATTTCCTCAGGTATGTCTTCACAGTGATGAAAAGCTAATGGATACAATAAGTAGTAGGAAGTAATTTATATGATAAAAGAAATAAATGGAACTACTAAAGTCTAAAGTAGTAGACTCTAACCAAGGGTGTTCTCTTTGCAGAGATAATTAATACAGAATTGGCAGTTATTGAGGGGGGAAAAGATAAATCAGTTACAGCTTTATGTATGAGAAAGGTGAATAGCTAAATATATCAAGGAGATTTAAAAAATTTAAGTTATATGTTAACACATACATATAGTTGCATATGTATAAACAAACAGAGAATGAGTTATCCTAAGAAACCTAAATTATCAAAATTGGCTCAAGATATTACAGAAACCCTGAACAGATCTATAGATGAAGGAAAAAAATGAAATGTGGTTATGATCTTATTTTTTAAAAAAAGAATTAATAGTTTTTCAGGTAATAAATATTTTAAAGAACTAATAATCTCTAGATTATTCTATAATGCAAATATCCCAATAATAAAAATAGATGAGAGGGCTGGGGTTATAGCTCATTGGTAGAGCACTCACTAGCCTAGCACATTTGAGGCCCTGGGTTCAATTCTCAGCATCACATAAAATAAAGGTATTGTATCCAACTACAATAAAAATAAGTATTTAACAACAACAAAAAAGATAAGAATACCATCTCAAAAGAAAAATCTAGACCTATTTTATTTAAGATACATGCAGACTATATTAATAAAGTATCAGTAAATTAAATGCAATATCTATTAAAATAATTATAAAACAAAATAATCTTGCCAGAAATACATAGGGCTCTGACCTTTGTGATGTAATTATGTATTTCGATTTTTTTAGGGTTTTTTTTTTGTGTGTGTATGTGTGTGTGTGTGTGTGTGTGTGTGTGTGTGATGCTGGGGATTGAACCCAGGGCCTTGTGCATGTAAAGCAATCTCTCTACCAACTGAGCTATATCCCCAGACCCTAGATTTTTTTTTATTTCTAACTTGAACAATTTAACAATGTTGGACAAAAGACATGACCCAGCTCCGTTATTTTTT